GACTTTCACTTTTTACTTTGTCCGGAGATAGGGATTAGCTCTATCTAGTGGGCCCAACTGTGTAGGAACCTGAAGACGGAGATAGAGTCCCATCTCCGAAACGTCGTTTTTTACGTTTTATATTTACTAGATGATGGATAATATCCAAGAAAATTTTTATTCAATTGAACCTATTAGTTGTTCTAGTGTGCAATGCATGAGGCTAAAAATATGAAGCAAATGAAACACATCAATTTTGTACAGTCCTTACCTTTTTCCTGTGTTCTGACAGTAAGAGTCACTGCTTCCCCAAACAAATTTGGTTCCTTGTTTTTAGCTGTAATCTGAAACAAAATATTTTCCTTTTGTCAGTTTCATAGAATAATAAAGAATAGCAATGTAAAAGGCCAAACAAATATTTAATTTAAGTCGCTATATTTCCTGACGGGATGCACTTGCATATGAAAGTACATTTTTAGCAGAAGCATAAGTACGTACTTTGGCATAGGATAAAACGGTATAAAAGTATAATGGAAAATGGTAGAAGACCATCCTTCCATCCCACAAATTTGAGCATCAATCACATCAGTATTAGTGATTGTAGAAAATTAAGAAATAAGAGTTTCAACTAGCCAATAACGACATAACTATCACACTACATTTCATGAAAATCTGATTAGCCATTCTAAAGTTATTAAAAGGCATATCACACACGCTAAACAACCGCTGACAGATGACAACATTACTATGGCTAAAAGACAACAGAAGACACTAACAGAACAAAGGCATAAGGTCTTCTTCTAGTAAAGATCACCTAAATCTAAAGAAATGAATGACTGATATTCTGCAGTTGAAAATCCACTGACTTGTAGCAAACTTTCTTCGTGTGGTCACTAAAGGAATCAAAGGAAAAAACTGCAGATGAAACACATAAAGATTTCCTGCTAAGAGATTATTATAGATGTACAAACTGCAGAGCCAATCCAATCCGTTAAACACGATCTAGCAGATATTTTCAGTTCTGTGTGATGAAACAACTGCATTATCACTTACCTTGATACTGTAATCCTTATTTTCAATAATTCCATCACTGGAATTAAGTTTGAAGCAAATCTTTCCTTTCCAGTAATCACACTTTTCAAAGTTATTATGCACAGCTTCCTTGAAATCATGGCTGTGAGCAGACTGAAGCTTGTATTCCACCTTATATTTCTCTAACTCTCCACAAGGAGGGAATGGCGCTTCCCAACGTAAAAATATCCAACTACTTCCAAATGAAAAGGCAACTGGAGAAATGACAGGCCCAGGCACTATAAAAAAAAAGAAAGCAATTTGTACATTTCAGGCAATTGTGTTACCAGAGTGAAAGGAAAATAATATCACCATTGCCAATACACCAACTCTGAGATGGAAGAAACAGAAGCATAATTTCATGTTTATTTTGTTTTATTTGTGATGTATAAAATGATGTTGTCACTACGTTAAACCATATTTTGTTTGATGATTTATCTAATTTTATTTGTGATGTATAAAATGATGCTGTCACTGTGTTAAACTATATTTTGTTTGACGATTTATCAAAAATGAATTGGAAAGGATGTAGAAGGAAGTAGTCATGACCTAATTTTAGGTTCTATCTCAGTGTTTGCCTTGAGGAAAATTTTACCCTGGGTTAATATGAAGTGAGAGTTTAATCATTCAGCTATGCTGTTCTGTCATAATTTAATTTTATACACTGAAAATTTGTACATCAACAATTTTTTGAAGTGTGAATTTGTAAAATGACTTTTGTTTAGACAGGGAAAATAAATCATGACTGCAATCAAACCACCTGCTTTATTAGTTAAACCAATATTTCTATTGCTATGCTGTCAGAAAAGAAACCTTTAGATTTCACTTTTATTGGTCGCTTGCCACATTTATTACAATTGTTGGGGAGAAGGGGTTAGGGCTCCTTGCTATTTCACCAGCCATTAGGTGATATCAGTTACTTGCAAACATAAAAGGGATGAAGAAGGCCTAGAAAGCAGCTTTTATATCTTCCTCTGTTCAGAATTGATTGCAGATGTGTTGCAGACTGGCTTTCATTCAGAGAGGGTGGAATGCACAATTCTGAGAGAAAGCCATTATGTGCAGTTACCAATCACTCATCATCATGCTATTTAATCATGTATTAAGAATGTAGATTATGCCTAGTCCTGAGTCTCCCTAACCAGTCACACTTGTCAAAATTCATCAAACACTATGATTCCATAAGACCCTGAAGACACCTGGTGAACTTTAATCATACCCATATTGATAATGACTTGCTATTATTTTAATTGTTCTGATGTTCAGTATTCTTGTAATTACTGAGTTTGTTGTGAATATCTTGATAGAACTCTTATTGTCTGAATGTTGACTGAAGATGACTATATAAAAATACATTACACTTTGTATTATTATATATATGTATTGTTTCTGTATATGTGTATTATTTTCTGTGTTTTGTTTAACAAGAGGTTATGGGATTTATTGCATTTTTAGAACGTTACAGGGGCTTTTAATAGTATAGTTGGTAGTTGGAGGAGGGATGTAATATGCTTGTTTATTACTGGTATAGACTGTTACTTATCAGATCAAGATTATCTGTATGAGCATTATTTAAGTGTATGGTTTGTTTGTGGGTGTAGCATACCTGGTATTTTTAAGAATGTCTTTCACCATTTTTATAAAATACATAATTTCAACTATTGTTTCATAGGAGTGTCCTGTCTGTAAAATGTGCTTATCTGGATGTGCTCTGGTTTTTCAGATTGCTTGAATCAGTTCATTGCACCTAGTTTAAAATATATGGCCAATATGATCTACAAATACAAATTAAAATGACCACTCCTATTTTCAACAAAGATCAATAAAATTTAACCTTTTTAACTTAAAAAAACAACAACAGACTATGTACGTAATTGAAGCCCTGATTTAGATAAATCACTAACCAGCATATTCAAGGATGAAATAGTCTGAAAGAAATGAACAAGAAACGCCTGATTATGGGCCAATCAGCCAATAACATATAGTGATCTGTTACGTATGAGACATGAAGAAGTATTTGAGTATCTATCTGTTGTGTAAAATGACAATAATAAGCACATAAACCAGAAAAAATTAATAGACACAGCAGAGGTAATAATTTTCTGACCCTTAAGAGGATAGAGACAGTCTGACCAATTAACAACAACATGTAACAGAACAATTAAATATATTTTCAATAACTAAAACAAATTATACTCATCCAAGGAGTCCTACCAACTGCCTAATAGATCAAAGCCAAAGAAAAGTTGGGACCCACTCTTTACACTAGTATAACAAACCTCTCTCAAGGAATCTAATAATGGCCTTTATATAACTGTGGTATAATTTCAGAATTTATTTTACACAAGTATGGCTGTCTTCTGGGTTGTTGCACCACGTAGTCTGGTAGAAGTTTACCGACGTGATGATGGAGGCAGTAAACTTCTACCAGACTACATGGTGCAACAACCTAGAAGACAGCTATTTTCAGAATCACCACCGTGAAAACCTCAAATCCTTTATTTTACATCTCAATTTAAGTTATCCATTCAATTATCGAAACAATACACATAACAAAAATATCACACTCTGGAAATTATATGGAAGCAATGCATAGTCAATTCAAAACATTGTCACTGACTTCACATTAGACATGTAATTGATTTATTCCTTTCATGGCTGTGAGGTGTGATAACAAGCTTCTAAAAGAGGTCAGTGGATCATGAAGTATATAAGCATCCTAACAGTATTACTAACCATTCTTTGCTTCAGACTCTGTCACTTACCATCTGGTAATGTTGTGAAGTTAACACTGTATGGAAGTGCTGGATTTATTAAATTGTTTTGACTCCTAACAAACACACTGGCATGGTACTGTGTGTATGGAATTAAGTTTTCACACCTAACGAATGGTTCTTGTAGCGTTCCTTGCACTACTGACATTATCTGAGTTGTTCTGGCCCATGGACTTAAACCAATCAATGTTACATTATAGCCTCCAATTGAACCTTTTATAGCTGTACAATCTTTTGGTGGAGACCAGTATAACATAACATATTCTTTATTTGACTCTACTGAGCGTTTGGCAGGTTCTGGACGAACTTGTGGAATATCTGAAACAAAATTCTTAATTAGCTGGTCCAAGATACTGCTGAGCTGCAAATTTAAAATACACCAATTGATAACATTTGCTATGAACACACAGTACCTCATATCCCAGTGGAAATTGCTGACTAAGCATAACTGAAAATTACATAATAATGAAGAAAAATAATTAAGTATGTAGCTACCACTGGTTGTGCTGTTGCAAGGACAATAATCAGTTATCTGCACAAATGAAGAGAGCTGATTCACATCCTTTCAGCAATTTCTGCACATTGTGGTGATTTTTCTCTCTAACTGCATCCTGATTTATTATGTCAACTGCAGAATTCCATACATACACTCATACTTAAGCAATTTCTATCTAAGTCCATTCCATTTTATCAACTTTCAAGAATATTTCCAGTTCTTGCACTGACTTCTTTTCATTACATTCCCTTCCAGTACCAAAACAACTTATGCTGCAATTTTTATACATTTGAATAGCAACAATGAAGAAAAATCAATACAATTTTCACCATACGTGACTCTAACTTGTATTCTCTTGCAAACACTCAAGCTGAATGACTCCATTTTCCACTCAATTTATACAACACACTTGTTCATTACAACCATTCCATCTTTCTCCTAGGTCCTCCATGTGAGTCAGATCACTCAATATTGGACATGTTCTGTGCATTTGGGAAAATGCTGGTACAAAAACCATTCAAAAGATATTTATAATTTCAATTATTCATGTTTTCAGTACTTGTTAGCAGTAATTCCTAATTAAATTTATGAATTAACAAAATTTTGAATAAATCAACATATGAAAGTCCTGTTCCTGATATGACAACTGACAATTATTCTAAACTAGCAGAATGCCTGTAATGTTACTGCATTAAAAATTTGAGAAATGTTAAAATTGTTTTATCAATCTTTCTTGCCAGAATCTTATCATAAGCCTAATGTTCTAAGAAGAAGGCCTATCACTGAATATCACAGAAAAATGAAATGTGCAAACCCAATACTATTTGTCTTCATGCGTAGGGCAGTCAAAAGATTCCCCCGGAATTCCCCTGCAGACGGAGAATGAGAGATAAGATAGCGCACGCAAGTGTTGTGGTGGGCAGCCGAGAATGTCTGCTCGCAGTGGCAACAGGTCTGGACAGGTTTCGGCGTGCCGTATCGTTATTGTTCCGTTTCAGTTAGACGTGGGTGTAGGTCATTCGGCGCAATGTCGCAGTTCGAATAGCGTTCGAACATCAAGTTCATGTGCGAATTGGGCAAATCTGCTGTAGAGACGCTATCTGCCCTGCAGCAAGTTTACGGTGATACTGCACTGAAGAAATCCGCAGTTTACGACTGGTTTTTCCTGTTTAAGAATGGGCATTAGACGTTGGTGGATGACCAGCGCAGCGGGAGGCCTTCGACATTCAGAACCGCGGAAACGATTGAACAAGTGCGACAATTGATTCTATCTGATCGCAGGATAACCATCGTGGAGTTGGAGCATGAAGTTGGTATCTCTCACTGATCCATTCATGCGATTCTGTCCGACGATTTGAAGATGAGACGTGTCAGTGCGAAGTTCGTTCCGAGGCAGCTGACTACGGATCAGATGGAATGTCGCACGATGATCGCTCGAGATCTGTTTGAGAAAAGTACGCAGGACACGACGTTTCTCATAAAGATCTTCACTGGTGTTGAGTCATGGGTGTTCGCCTACGACCCGGAGACGAAGATGCACTCACCCGAGTGCACACAGCGTCGTTTGCCCGACCAAAGAAAACGCCTCGTCCGATCCAAGGAAAAAGTGATGCTCATTGCATTCTTTGACATCGACGCACCACGAGTTCGTACCGTCTGGACAGACTGTTACGGGTCATTTCTACGTGCAAGTGTTGCAGAGGTTGCGCCAAGCAGTTCGGAGGAATCTGCGCGACAAATGGCAGGGTGGGTGGTTTCTGCATCACGATAAC